ACACTAGTGAATGCTTAGGAACTTACGATAAACCTCGGGGAAGATGGTGTATCACTGAATTTGAGATGAGTATAACTAGCGTTGCCATCTTGTATTTGAAACTCTACTTTCACAATTTATATCTCGGAAATGATAAGATAGGTGAGGTTGGTTAAACGCGAGCAAAATTTCCTATTTAGATACGAATGTCTTTTAAATTTTGCATATAGAAACATAGTATTCCGCGGATCGAACGCCAGTACTGAATCTTAACCTCACTCTTTAGGAAACTTGAATTCAAAGTTTCACAACAATACGTGCAGTGTTCTCACTACATTGAATTCTTAAGTGTCACCAAGTCATTAGAAAAATGGAACTCAACCGAGAACATTTTCGCGCCATAATTTATTACAACTTTCAGAGACAATTATCGCAACAAGAATGCCTTGCTGAGTTACTGTTTGTTTTTGACAACGAAGCGCCACATCAGTCGACAATTTGCGTTGGTATGCAGAATTCAAACGTGGACGGGAGAGTCTTAGCGACGATCCCAGGGTGGCTGCAGCAAAAACGGCAGTCACCCAGGAAAACTTCGATGCTCTGCGCAAACTCAACATCGAAGATAGACATATCACGAGATTGAGGCATCCTTGAAGATCTCAAAGACCTCAATCCAAAAAAATTTACATGAAGAATTAGGAGTAAGAGAATTAGTTTATCGTTGGATACCCCACCTGTTGACTGAAGAGCAGAAAGCAGCCAGGGTTAATTGGTATCAAAAAACGCTTGACCGTTTCAATTCCGGAAACTCAAAAAATGTGTACAACATTGTCAGTGGTGATGAATGGTGGATCTGTTATGAACCAGAAAATAAACGACAGTCGGTTGTTTGGGTGTTCCAAGGTGAATAAAAGCCAACAAAAGTCATCCGTTCTCGAAGTGTTTCGAAAAAGATGGTCGCGACATTTGTGTCAAAAGCGGGTCATATTGCAACAATTCCTCTTAATGAGCAAAGAACTGTTACTGCGGATTGGTATACCACCATTTGTTTGCCAAAAAACAAGGCAGTATTTAACGGAAGAAAACGTGGAATTATTGGACTATCCTCCATATAGTCCCGATCTAAGTCCTAACGATTTCTTTACTTTCCCGAAAATTAAAGACAGACTGCGTGGTCGAAGGTTCCAGTCACCAGAAGGAGCAGCTGATGCATTAAAAAATGCCGTTTTGAATCTGCCAGCAAACGAGTGGAATAAGTGCTTCAAACATTGGTTCGAGCGCATGCAGATACCTGTATGTATTAATCTTCGTGGAGAATACTTCGAAAAAAATAAAGTCATTTAAAACTACCTACCGTGTTGTTTTATTTCCATTAAAAGACCTAGGATGATAGCATTTTCAGAAATTTGCAAAAAATTCTGAAGACCAAGGATGCTTCTGGTTCGACCATTAGCTAAGCTTTTTTAATTAAGTTGGCACAAACATTGATGGAACAGGCATGACTTGTAGAAAATTTGAATCTTCAGAGTTTAGGAAAGACAATCGGTATCAATTTAGCGAATGTAGGAATTGTTGAAAAAAGAGTAATTCTGGACTTCTGTTTTTTGAATACACCCAAAGTGGCTTAGCGATAGAAAATGATTTTAAGACTGCTCGCAAGCGACATACTCTCTCATGAGACACTGGAATTTTATAATTCTTGTCATGGTTTGTCACTGTGAGCTTTTGTAAATTCAGTTTAATTCAAAACGGGTGTTGGAAAAAAGTGGTCAATAACGAAGAAAAGAATAAATGTTTCCGAGCAAACTTCTACTTCGTCGTTTGCCATTTTGTTGAACAGTGAAAAATTCTCGCACGTATCATTTACTGTCGCATGGTCCTAGCTTCGCGAGATTTTGTCTCATGAAAAAAGGCCAAGCCCCCCTAATCAGACAAAATCACGTCGGTATATAGTTGTAGTCACCGTTCTTATACAGCGTGTTTCAGTTTATCGTTGCATAACTTTAACATTCGATAGAACATTTAAAATTAATGCATAAAGTCTATATAAACATGGGTCGAAAAATGCGTGGCTTCCGAAATACAGAGTGTTTAAATTTACTTTCTAAAATAGTTTTTTTTAAATATTTCGAACAATATTTGATGTATAACAGTGAAAATTGGTATACAAGGGTTTTTTGGTACGATAAAATGAACCATGGGCATAGTTTTGCTGTAGCCGCTAGAGGGCGCTCTCTACTGTACCTGTAGTGTATTAAAATGCCCGAAAAATTTTTCTTTGTAGAATTTTTTGCTTTTTGAATAAAAAAAGTGATTCTTCGCACTTTTCAACATAAAAAAGCTATCTTGTGAATTTTCGTTATAGTTAGCCGTTTTTGAGATATTTCGATTTTTAGGGTTCGATGCATTTTTAATTATTTATGATAAAATAACGTTTAAAAGTCAGTATCTCGATAATTTTTAGAAGTAGGCTGTGCCTGCAAATATTTTTTAAATTGAAAGCAGAATAAGGTTAAACGTCAATTGGTTGACAGTTAGTTTTGTTGTCTGTTGAAACCTGAAACGTTTTTCTGCAATTGTGAATGCACGAAATTTAGTTCCTTTTACCTGTTTTTTTTGTAAGTTTTATATTATATATTTTTATTCTCCAACCAAGAGTTAGCGGATATTCATTTTGTGTATGGCTTTGTAAATGGAAACGCAGCAGAAGCAGCCAGAGAATATGCACGAAGATTTCCAAACAGACGACATCCAGCTCGCTCAGTATTTGTAAGAGTGCATCGCCAAATAATTGAAAATGGTTTTGGAAATCTCCACAGGGATCAAAACCTGAATGTTCGTCAGCACAAATTTACCCGTATGATTCTGCGTGAGTTTGATAGAGATCCGACCACAAGTGTTAGCAGAGTTTCTGGTGCCTTGGGAATTTCAGCAAGCCATGTTCACCGTGTTCTTAGAAATGACCATAGACGTCCTTACCATTTGCAACCTGTGCAAGGACTACAGTCAGGGGACGGAGAACGAAGAATCACATCTTGTCAGTGGAGTCGTGGGTTTACATTTCAAGCAACTACTTTAGATTTTGTATGTTTGTCCTAAATATCCAATAGCATTTTAGTTGTAAATAATTAATTTAATTTGTTAAAGATAATATTGGAAAATTAAACAAATTGATATTCTGTTTTTTTGTGTTTATTTGGAGTTAGGAATTATTTTTGTGTTTAAAAACACAATCTAAGCGATCATCTTAATTACTTGTAATGCCCAAATCCAAAATGTAAAAAAATATCATTTTTCCATAAATAATTAAAAATGCATCGAACCTTAAAAATCGATACATCTCAAAAACGGCTAACTATAACGAAAATTCACAGGAGAGATTTTTTATACAGAAAAGTGCGAAGAATCAGTTTTTTATTTAAAAAGCAAAAAATTGCACTAAGAAAAAAATTTCGGTCATTTTAATACACTACAGGTACAGTAGAGAGCGGTCTCTAGCGGCTACAGTAAAACCATGGTTCGTTTTGTCGTACCAAGAAACCCTTGTATACCAATTTTCACTATTATACATTAAATATTGTTCTAAATATTTAAAGAAAAAACTATTTTAGAAAGTAAATTTAAACACCCTATATTTCGGAAGCCACGCATTTTTCAACCCATGTTTATATAGACTGTATGCATTAATTTTAGAAGTTATGCAACAATAAACTGAAACACCCTGTATATCTCTATCTCCCTCGTACATACACATGTAACCTACCCCCTGTGTGTAAACGTTTGTTCGGTAAGCTCAAAGACATACGGGTTTTAGTTGTGTGTTTCCGTCTCGAAAACTTTCTCGTCACGTATGAGTGCCCTTCAGTCATATTTGTCAGAGTGACAACTTAATTGGCATTGTCATGCAATTCTAGTTGTCCTGTTACAAATCTTCAATATAAAATTGTACAATGCCCGGAAATACGACCAATGGAGAAAGCCAACAGCTCGTGTTAAATTTATTACAGTGTTTCCAGGAAGAGAATCAAAACAGCGGTGCCATGTTACTCACTTCATGCGTACTGGAGAGAGTAGCAGATGCGCTGAAGATTTGTCTGCGCAGCGTTCTGCCCATGATAGTGACTCGATCTGTTTACTTTTTTCATATGGCGTTGATGACGTAACCGACAAGAACGATGACTGCAACTATATTGTTAGAAACACGGATAGTCAAACACTAATTTCAACTTGTATTAACAATAATAATAGCACAACGATTTAACGTAATTTTGGAGCGGCAGATTATCCGAGCACGATGTGCACTGCTGCACGTAACAGGTCGCTCTGCCAGAGTCGGCGGCCGATCGTCATTCCCTCAGCTACCACAGAGCAGCAACGACACAGCAGTACCCCTTCGTGACCGGCAGCGGCTCGCCAAAATTTTTCGTTTCTTACACGGCCTTCCTGACGGCTGCGACGCTCGACGCCCTCTGCACTACAGGCCGAATCTGTGAATCAAAAGCATACGCAAAACACTCCGTGTACTTGCCACAACTGTTATCTCACAAATATGATTCAAATCTGAATCAACCTCTACCGCTACCGGTAAAATTCACAATTCGATTACAGAATTGCACGTAAATTCAATTAAATAAACCTTTAACAGTGACGGCGACGACCGTCTCATTAAAATAACAACTCTAAAACTTCAGTACTAGTAGCTCTACTACTAACAAGACAAAGACCAATCTTATAATATCCATGAAGACCTCAGCCTTCAGCTGGCTCTGCTGCTGACGAGACAGAGACCATAGTAACAGTATCCCTGAAGACCTCAGCCTGCAGTTGGCTCTGCTGATGACGAGACAGAGACCATGTTACAACACCCCTGAAGACCGCATCCTTCAGCTGCCTCTACTACTGACGAGACAGAGACCAGGTTGCAGTATCCATGGAGATCTCTGCCTCCATTTGGCTCAACTTCTGACGAGATAGAGACCAACATTCAGCAAGACAGCACATCGCAGAATTTAACCAGATATTTACTGACGTGCTTCTTCCTCAGCCTCCAGAAACCCAAGTATATCTCCTATATCAACCTTGGAGGACCACTTTACAGGCAATGATCTTAGCTGTTCCTTAGCTGCCTTTGTTATGATGGTTGTTCCGACCTTCTTAATCTCATAACGTCCATTTTCCAAGCACTTAACCTCTTTATAATGACCAAGAAACTCATCGTCGCTCTTGCTTATGTGCATCTGCGAGTCCCGGTGTATCAGTACAAAATCACCGACTGAACATTGCACTTTGTCCCTTCTTTTTTTTTTTGTTCACTGTGTTGTAATTTTGTGCGACGAATAGCCTACGCGATGTTCTTCAGGTACGTCAACTTCTGTGACTAAAATACCAAAATCTTCTGAAACGCGATTTATGCCAGGCAGCTGACGTCGCACAGCGCGTGATCGTTGATGATCTGTTATAGTGGCGAGACCTTCATCTTCAAAAATATTACGCCCCACCAAAACATCATAATCGAGACACTCGCCCGAAAAAAAAATAAAACACATCGGAATATCAACACCAGAAATTTTCGCACAAGCCGTAAACTTCTTTCTAGCCTTAACTGTAACGTTAGCTAGCCCTTTCAAAATAACATTGCAGCTAACAACCTTATTATCAAATAAGTAGAGGAACTTATCAGATATCAATGATAAATCAGTTCCAGTATCAACTAAACAGAAAAAATGATAACCATCAATTAATATTTCGGTGGACCCAACTGGTTTTCCACTAGAACAAAAGTTTATGTTGCGACGTTTATCAATAGCAGCCTTGGTAAAGCAATTCGATACGCTGTGACCTTTCTTAGCGAAAAAACTACAAATTTCAGAACTATGGGATGTGCTTGGTAAGTCACGCTGACCTATGGAATTGTATCTGTCGTCTGATACCACACACAGTTTGCTTTAACGTGTCCAGATTTTCCGCACTGGAAAGACTTCTTAGAGTTTTTAACAAAACCACCTTTTTGCTTGTCAACAGATAAATATTTCTTTTTGAGAGAAGAAGAATTACTTTCGGCTATATTTTGTCTGTCATTGCACGGAGGTGACAAGAAACCAATAATTCAGAAATAGTTTTGCAGTTAGCATTCATCGCAGCATTGCGCACCTCTAGTTCAGAGATTCCGTAAATAATGAGTTCGACCAAATCACTTTCGCACCAATTTACAGGTACATTTTTAAGCATAGATGAATTCTCATGTACATAACTTTCATACGTGTTGACAAAAGAACTGTTAAATTTTGCTGCCTCCTCCAACAAACGACCCAAATTTCTTTTAGAAGGAAACGCCTCAGCAAAGTCAACTCGAAAAGTAGCCCAATCCCTGTTGTCTGGGTTTCAACGTTCGAACGATCTCTTTGCACCACTCAATAAAAATCGGCCAATCCTTGTCAGAGTTTGAACGTCAGACTATGCAACTTCACGCTTGATGACTTCAATTTGACTTACCCATTTACTGGATACGTTTATTTCGGGTCTAAAATAGGGCAAATCTACCTGTTCTGCCAACCTTTGGGACTGCAAAGCCTTTACCAATTCTGCTACCAGTGACTGGGTCGGGTCTTCATCTGTTGAAACCATCGTTAAATTGAGTTTCATTATCAGGAACACCAAGACTTGATCCAAACACACAACGCAGCACAGACTTTTTTTTTAAACTATGACGCAGCAATCACAACGATGTACCGTTATCCTCTGTTCTCACAAGACAAAGAAAACGTCAATGTTTTCAAAAGAAATCAAAATCCACTGTGGTCGTCTGGGCACAATCCCGCTTCTGATGTTAGAAACACGGATAGTCAAACACTCATTTCAACTTGTATTAACAACAATAATAATAGCACAACGGTTTAACGTAATTTCGGAGCGGCAGATTATCCAAGTACGATGTGCACTGCTCGACGTTACAGCTCGCTCTGCCAGAGTCGGCGGCCGATCGTCGTTCCCTCAGCTACCACAGAGCAGCGACTACGCAGCAGTACCCCTTCGTGACCGGCAGCGGCTCGCCAAAATTTTTCGTTCCTTACAATATGTATAAACCTAGTGAAATCAAAGCTAGTAGTCGTTTAAGTAGAGATGTATTCTGAAGATGTCAATTACTGTCGTTAATCAAGTTGTCATCATGGTCTAACGAAGTCATGCACCTTTTAAGGGTATAAAGCCTCCACTTCTTAAACGTTCTGGTGTGTAAGTTAGTTAGCCTCAGCTTGAAGGCAAACATTATCCCTGAAGATCTTTAAAATACCTTTCTGTATTCAGTGGCCGTTAGTAACATTCAAGCTAGGAGCGGAAACTTTCGGCCATCTTAGATAAATTGGTTAATTAACTAGATAAAGAAGCGTAAGGAGACATCGTTACAATTTAATTACAGCGCGCGTAGATTGTAAGCTGTTTTGAGTTGAAGCTTCCTTAATTAACAGTTTACTACAAAATTGGGCCAAAAATGAGCTGGGAAACTGCCGGAGTGTAAGCAGTCGCTGTCTTAGTTGCAGCAAAATATGATGATACGGTAATGGCGGTTTCCAGAAGAACACAGAAGTACTTGACACGCGAGCATCCCAGAACGGTTTATAGATAGTGACACATAGTCTTGGTAATTTTTTAAATTTTAAATATCACCTTAAGATATTTCTGCATTATTCATAAAAGCAAAAATGATGGGAGATCTGATACATGGGAATGAAACAGGTTGCATTTTTGCAAGTTTTTAATTGACGTTATAATTAAAACTTATCCTGTGGTTTTATGGTGGTAAAGAAAGCTACTTATTCGTATATTTGAGTGACTTCTTACAGTAAAATGTCACTCAAACACATGTGTTTACGTTTAGCGGCCAGACAATCATAGAGTTCTCTAAACTCTTTTAACTTGACCTATTATAGTTTAGTTGTCATGGCAATACCCAACAAATTTAATTCCTTCATTTTGACTCCTATATTGCAATTGCTACAAAATTACGATTTATCGTTTCCATATAAACCCCTGTAATATTAATATCAAATGATAAAGGTTTGATGTGAGAAACAACAAGCAATACCACATCCAATGGGGCGGCCTCCGCAATATGGCAATTCGTAATAAGGCGGACGTCTAATATGACAATGCAATATCATTATGATACGAGGGTGGTCCCAGAAGTCCCCGATCCAACAAAGAAAAGAGAAAAATTTTGTAAAAAAATGTATTTATTTTACAACATCATCTCCTTTGAGCTCTATACACTTTTCCCAGCGATGTTCAATAAGTTCGATACCCTTTGTAAAATAACTGTCTTGCTCCTCAAAATAGCCAATAACTGCCGACATCACTTCTTCATTGTTGGAAAATATTTGACCACTGAGCCATTTTTTCAAGTTTGGAAACAGAAAATAATCTGAGGGGACTAAACCAGGTGATTTAGGTAATGTTTTGGTTTTGTTTGCCTTGCAAGCTCTATAAATTCATTTTTCTATTAGTTGTAGCAGTCGATATTTTTTGTAGTTGGCATTAGTTTCATCACTTTATATAGTCTCACTTTTTCTATTGCCGATGTTATTAATTCTTTGGTAATACAGGCATTTCTGCTTTTCTAATTTTTACTTTATTGGTACTAATATCTATTAGTTTTTTATTTTCTCTATGAATAGTCCTGTTGCTTTATAGAATATAATTCTTGTTTGACATTTGATATTAGTTTTAAGTTGTCGACGAAAGATTTGTAATTCTCCTGGTTGTTACTAACGGGAAGGATGTTAGAATCCTTTTCATTTGAAGATATCAGTAAAATAGTGGACAAGTGGTCAGTAAAATCGCTTTCTAGGATTATTCGAATACAAGTAATTTTGTTGGATAGGACATCGTCCGAAATATTTACGAGTATATTGTTATCTCCCAAAAAATACGTTTTAAATGAACATTATTTTGATTTTGGAAAAAATCGATATTCTTTAAAAATTCGTGGGTTTCTGAACATGGCGGACGATAACTTGCAGACTCCTTAATTTTGATATGGTTAAATTGGATCATTATGTTTAGAATTATAATTCAATCGGTAAAAGTGAATGTATCATGCTTCTATTCAAGTTTATTTCTTACAAATCGTTTTGATTATATGCTAAGTACCAAAGTTATACAGCGTATCATACAAGGGTGGTCCCAGAAGTACCCGACCCAACGGAGAAAACACAAAAATTTTGTGAAAAATGTATTTATTTTTCAACATAATCTGTTTTAACCCTTTTTATAATACGAACTGTCTTGCTCCTCAAAATAGCTATTAACTGCCGACATCACTTCTTCATCGTTGGAAAATCTTTGAACATTGAGCCATTTTTTCAAGTTTGGAAACAGAAAATAATCCAAGGGGGCTAAATCTGGTGAATAGGGTGCATGAGGTAGCAATTCAAACTTTAATTCGTTAATTTTGGCCATTGCAATAACGGATTTGTGAGCTGGTTGCAATAAGTTCGCATAATACTCGCCGTTGATAGTTTTACCTTTTTCAAGATAGTCAATGAAAATCATCCCACGCGCATTCCAAAGAACCGACGCCATAACCTTGCCTGCAGATGAAACGGCCTCCGCCTTCTTTGGAGCCGGTTGTCTCTTTTGAGTCCATTGTTTCATCCTTGGTTATGAAACGATGCAAAAATTCTGCTTGTTGCTGTGAAACTTCGCTAAACACTCAATTGAAACATCTTTACGACACTGTTTTTGCTCGATTGTGAGCAATCGTGACACCCATAATATGCGATGAACCGCACTTTTTGAAATGCCTACTATGTCTGCTAGCTCGCGCGCTTTTAGCCGACGATCATTCAGTACCGCTTTGTGAATTTTCTTCACCATTTCTAGAGTCGTTACCTCATTTGGTCGACCACTGCGATGCTCGTCTTGGCAGCTCATACGGCCTCGTTTAAACTCTGCTACCCAATATTATACTGTTGTAAACGAAGAAGCAGACCCACCCAGAGTAGAATCCAGTTCAGCTTTTATATTGGTTGGGCTGAGGCCTTTGAAATAAAAGTATTGTACTACTATAACGATAACCAATTTTCTCCATTTTCACAAATTCACTGAAAACGTTTAGTATTGATGGCTGCCAAATACTAAACAACGTGGCGTCTTCAAACTTAATACGTATGCTTTATAGGTTGCATACTTTCTAATACAATGATATTTTTCAAACAAATATTGCCATCTCTAGGTCAGACCG